TATTGCTGATATATTTTATCGAAAAAAAAAGTATTTTTTGCGAATTTTCCTGTTTTAATCCTCTTCGTTGAATGAAAATTTGTAACAGGGCAGTCGCGCATTCTGTCAGTCAGACGTTACGATATTGATGAGATATATACCACGGAATCAAATATAAACAGGGAGTACAGGAAGACCTATTGCATAACATGATAGCAAAAATTAAACGGGAAAGAAGCAACCAATTCACGAACTGCAACATTTGTGCAAAGTTTTTATTGCATATATAAATCAACATAACAAGAAGCAACAAAAACACGAGATCGAATAACGTGTGCAAAATCTGACAACATCCGAAATTCGTAAAAAAAAAAGTGAAACTCAAAAAAGTTACTCTGATTCTCCACAAATTAGACATTTCATGATTTACGGAAAAACAAAACTTTTAAGTTTTTTATAACCAAAAGCTAAAAAAAGCCCGCCACGGCTCCTTCTTTGGTTACAAATAAACTAAGAAACCAATATCGCCTGGATAAATTAAGATCTCGTGTTAGTGCTGTTACTGACCTACTTCCCACATGTCCAGCACAGCTTAATGCTGCCATATGCCTGGTACAGCTATGTCAAACTATTCGATTTTGAACTGAAAACGCTACAAAACATACAAACTATGAAAAGACACACCTAATTTTCTGCCTTTCTGCTAAAAGGTAAGATTTCATTCAGCCATACTAAATCCAATAAATTTATGGTGTCTGTCTACTACCTTTTGGCTACTTTCAGTCACTTCCTCTACCCAAAAAGACAGAGCAAAAAAGTTCTAAAATTTCATTTCAGCCATACTAAATCCAACAAATTTATGGTTGCTTGTCTACTGCCTCTCGGGCTACCTTCAGTTACCTCCTCCACTCATAAAAACTGGACAGAAAACAAAAATCCTGATTTCTGGCTTGATGAGAAACAAAAAATAGCAAAAATACCAGTAAGTTGGCACCATCCATTAATAATGCCTGTTTGGAATTTCTGTGGATACGACACAGTGAAAATCGAAAACAATCAAATGCACTGATGGTGTTTAAGTTTGGTCAGGATGAATTCATCTTCATACGGCTAAGGGATGAGACACAGTAGACTTGTGTTCACAATAACATGTCTAATAGCTCGGTTTTTTTATCCAGTACAATCCAACAGTGGAGATAATCTTTCAAAATTTTTAACCTTCAAAAAACTAAATCCAAAAAATTTATGGTTGTTTGCCTACTGCCTTTTGGGCTACCTTCAATTACCTCCTCTACGCAAAAAAACAGCGCAAAAAAGTTCTAATTTCTAGCTTGATCAGGAACGAAAAATAGGAAAAGTGCCAGTGAAATGGCACTGTCCACTAATAATGTCGGTTTGGAATTTCTTTGAATGCAACACGCTGAAAATCGAAAACAATCAAATGCGCTGATGGTGTTTGGGTATGGTCAGAATGAGTTCATCTTCATACGGCTAAGGGATGAGGCACAGTGGACTTGTGTTGGGTCTGTGTGTACAGCTATGGGATGAAACATAGACTGCATCATTGTCTTCTTATACATGACACTTAATTCCAATCTTTTTACTCCACTATTCACAGTTACACGTCTAATAGCTCGGCTTTTTAATCCGGTACAATTTCACGGCGGATGTAATCTTTCAAATTCCTTAACCTTCAAAAATTTTTATTTTTTTCGTTCTTCACTTTTCCTTTTAATTCATCACATTGCATATTTTTAATACTTTTGCTGTAACCGTCACACTAAGGTCCTTTTAATTCATCACATTGCATATTTTTAATACTTTTGCTGTAACCGTCACACTAAGGAGGTCTAGGAATGTGTGCGCCTTAGTGGACCGAAACATTCCAGTTCATTTTTTATTTTATTATTTTACTTTTACCGCTACTTTTTACTCTTTATGACCTTTTTTTTTAATCACAAAATATCCAAATTTAAATTAGAAAATTAAGGAAATATGTTATTTCACTAAAGTAGATGCATTCAACATAAGAAATT